TTATGCAGATTGGCATAAAACACCCACATAATTACTTCACAATATCCAGTGTTACCTAAATACTAGTTGCTGTCATATACGTTTTTTGTGTGTGTGTAGGCTTGAATCTCCAGCTCCAAGATTGTCAGTCTTAAGCCCTGAACACACCAAATCCAATTTTGCATTGGTAAAAACAATTTAAATATAGATGAACATAAATATCTAAATCCAATGCTTTCAATTATTTTTATAGAGAACTATTGCACGATGAGTTCAATGACAATACGCTCAGTAGCAGTAGACTTTCTGTAACATTGTGGGGGTAGATGTTGTAAGTTATCCAAAGTCAGTCAAATCCACAACTTTGGTTACTGCCTGTCTTGATTCCAGGGCTAATCTCCCTAATTTACTATGAAGAGTTCCAACACTCAAATGTCAATTCCCACTCAATTCTTTTTCATTTTCCACAAGCCTGATATAATCAGAAACAGTTAGTCAAAACAACACCTGAAATGTTGATGGTTTTGTGATGTCCTGTAATGTAAAAACAAAACTACGCCAGTCCAGCGGCATGCCCAGACAGACACGCACAGATGCAGACAGGTAGGCTCAATAGTTGAGGGACAGAGAAAAGACATGGTACCAGGATTTCTGCAGGGCTTTAAACTGGTCTTGTCCTAGGAGCCAGGGTTACGGGAATAAAACGGACACTCCCGGCATTCCGAGCCAAAACCCTGAGGGCTCAGCAGGGACACAATCATAAGACAAGGCATACACGAAAACCCTCTAACTCCACTGGCCGCCAGGAACCAGGTTTTGAACCATGGAATAAAGTAAAACTACCGAACAGACAAACGGAAAACGAATAAAGATGTGGCCCCGATCGCTCGGGCTGAACCAAATATAAAGCACAGACGGAGGTGGAAAAGATGAGTGAAAATTAGGAACCGGGCAGAACTAGGCAGGTAAGTTAAATTAACAATAGAGGTGAAGCTATCAGGCCAGATCAAAAAGTCTATTTCTGCTATACGCCCCATTTCTCCTTTTGGGCAACAGTGTCGTTGGATGAAGGAGTTTGCCCTGAAATCGAAGGGTTGGGGAAAACCCTTCACCCGCATTGTCTACTGATGGTGGTCAGAGGGTCCAGTTGCGCCAGTATACAGCAGTCTTGCTTCTCTCAGTGAGCCCCAGGGCAGCTGTGGCTACATTGTACTTTGCCACCATCAGTGGGTGTGTGTGTGTGTGTGAATGGGTGAATGACTGAATGTAGTGTAAAGCACTTTGGTCAAGTCTCCTGAGTTGGAAAAGCTCTATATAAGTTCAGGCCATTTACCATTTATCTGCTATACACGACTATTTTCATGACTGCTAAATTGGCAGTTTTTATTCAATAAAACCATATTTTTTGGCAACATTTTCTAAACCTGTTCAAACTCTGTAACCATCTGCTCTGTTAACTCAAATCTCAGTCTCAGGTCATTTCTTGTTTTTTTAAATATCCTATAATATGTTCTCATGAATGTAGTCCAGACCAACAGGTCCAAGTAAACAAGCCCATAACACATAAGAACGAATCCCTGTGATTTTGATGAGGTAATGATGCTCTACAGTTCAATTGTCGCCTAAAGACAGTCAGTATTTTAATGGATAAGCTAAAATAAATATTATACATCTAAAAGCTATAATGTGCAATTGCTTTACATTAAAACATCAGTTTATTAATTATGAGGGTATCAGGTTTAATCTGTAAATTAGATAGAAATATCCAACATGGAGGGGAAACAAAAACATTTTGTGTTTATTTGATATTTTTGGATACGTGATGCAAGTTGACCTCATCCTGAGAAAGGAAAGCAGCACAGATGGTCACCCTGAGATAGCAAGAGGAGCCAAGGTCACAAGACTCTCATCTTGCCAGACGCTGGAGCAGTCAATGAATGTGAGATTACACACATAGATACTGTCAAAGGTTGTTATGAAAGACTAAATTACAGGTCGTAGATACGTTTTTTATCAAAACAATAAATATTTCCAAAAAACACATCCAGAGAATGTATAGAGGCATACAAATCAAACTTTTATAAATTATTAAACATTAATGCAACATGAAATTGTGTATAAATAATTGCTTTATAAATTTTGTTGGGTCCAAAATATATACTTTTATTTCCAGCTTTTTATTGTCATTACACAATCACAAGTACATAGCAACAAAATTAACTCTCTGCATTTAACCCATCCCATTGTGGAGCAGTGGGCTACCATTGTGTGGGTCCCAGGGAGCAGTGTTGGGATAAGGGTCTTTGCTCAGCAACCCAGAGTGGCAGTCTGTGGGAGTGGGGCTTGAAATCAGAACCTCTGGATTTCAAGTGCAATACCCGAACCACTAGGCCGCCACTCCCCATACTTGTGGATGAATTACACTGAGCGTAATGACAAAGCGAGTAATTCAGTCAGGTGAACCGTCTTTGACTCCAGCCAAACTGGCCAGACCAATCACAGCACGAGACTGTGCAATGCGTCACTCTCAACGCATTTCTGCTACCATAACAGCAAGATGGCGACAGCAGTGGAACAATGTTTCAATGATACCCTTTCCTTATGTCCTAAGTGATATATTGATCTAATTTTAAAACCTCAACCATGGACAGCTTAAGAGTAATTTCTTTTTATCAAGGAGTTAATAGCTATTCTCGGTTTCACATATTTCACTCACTAAAAAAATTACATTTAAAAAAGAGGATAATTTGGAGTTCTTGCATCACATTTCTAATTACATGATTGGTTCTAACCTGATGACATTGATGCTGTCAGTCCCGCCTTTGAAATCAAGCTCTACCAGCTTTTTACCAGACTGATGCAATGTGTATACGTTGTACCAATATGGCTGGCTAGGCTAACTTGCACTAATAGGAATAATAGTTAAAGCCATGTAAGACGAAGCTTAGGCAATGCGGGATCCAAGTAGCTAAATGATAATAGAGAAATGGCTTCCTCACAATTCAGATATTAAAGCCAATCAAAAAAACTGGAAGGAAGTAAAATGAGGGTGAACATCTGTGTTGCTTATGATTGTTCACTCTTAAGAAAGCAAAGGAACTGGGAAGCCATGTGGAGGTTGCTACGCTAAGTGATACTGTGCAGCCCTATGTAACATGTATGTTTCTGAAATGTTGGAGAAAGACAGGATAGCCAAACCACCAGAATAGCATAGAAAGGCCACAATTTGGAGGTGTGTGCTCCTTTTCCCACTGGTAGAAGCACTATTGTTTACAGGAAGCCTATACCAAACACATTTCTATTTGCAAGTGGCTTGAATCTGAGACTGTAACCTATAAGTATTGGTGAACTAAATTGCCTCTGAGATCCTGATAAAGAAGCTGAATAAGTAACTGGGTGCAATACATTGTCAAGATTATTAAAATGACAAAATGTACTGTCCGCCTGGAATGAAAATGCTAATGTTGTAGCCATGGCAGGAGGCCAGTTTGGCAATTCATGCTTCAAATTCCCAGATAACTGAGTCCCAGTGAGGCAGTGTGGTCAGCCGTGCTTGACACAGGGCCCCTCTGCTATTACCATGTTAATGAAACAGCTTTAACATCCTCATGGAAACTGTTTGGCATGTTTATAACAGAGCTCTACCCCATTGCCTAGGTGATAGAGTAATGCAATAATTATAGTTATTTCTGAGCTTTCAGAAAGTGTTTTTGTGCTACTTTACATGAGACTAGAAGCCACAATACTGATATTTGTGAAGTAAAATATGCATTTTTGTAGTACTATTAACACTTGCTGTAACTATCCACTAAGAAGGAAAGGAATCTTTAGCTTTTGAAAGGCCTTATTCTAAACTCAGTGATATCTACAAATAAAATCTACATCTAAAGGGCTGTCTATACTCCCACAGCAGTGTGTCGCAGTTAGCTTATCACAGGTATGACGCAGATATTTTTTTGATTCATGCTTAATTTTAAGCGTGGTCTGCACTTTGTTATTTCACGCCACAATGCCAGAGGGACAATCACAAACTAGCTAGGATTGTTGGTGTCCTTGTGTCGGTTTGACGAGTTTGGTTGCCGGATACAACCCCTCATCCAACTCTGGACGACGCATAGTTCACTCATGTGTGTTCCCGAAGGAATGGCTGCATGTTTTGGCTTTGGATGCAAACCAACAGACCGACGCACAGAGCTACAAACTAGTATCCTGCACAGTGTTTCAGCCATTGGGGTGTGTGTGTGTGGGGGGGGGTCTGGCTGGCACATCTCCGTTAACTGCGACACACATGCAGCTGACCTGGGTTCTGAGCTTAAACCAGGCTTAAGACTACAACAACAATGCCCTCTTCATTTGCTCCCTCACAGAAGGACCAGAATCATTTGTCCTGTAATTCAAACCTCAAGTCTCACATCAACAATAAAAAACAGTTTGCATTGTGCACTGACTTTCATTAATAATTCACAGCATTGCAAATCAGAGAGCTTGAGGCAGAGCAATAAATCAGGAGGCTAAGAACTAAGCGGTACTGTTGACACATCTGCATTTTTTGTACCTGGAGTTGAGATGATCCTGACAACCTCTAACCTCCGCAGAAGAAGGATGACCTCCATCCAGGAGCTGCTGTACTATCTGATTAACATCCAGGATCCGTCCCATCAGGCTGTTCATCTCCTGGTCCAAGCTTTCAAACCTGAATTAAAAAGACATGTGAATTTAAAAAAGGGGCGTTTTATGACTCTTTTGTTTCGTGATGCATTTCTTACCTGTGTGCCACCACTTCCACGTCCTCCAGCTTTTCAGGGATTTCCATCTTCTCCAGCCACTGCTCCTTCTCATCGATCCAGAGCTCACAGGCATTGACCTCGCTGAACATGCGGTACACAGCCAGCGCATCGTGAAGCCATTGCTGCCGGAGCACGGCAACTTCAGCAACCTCGGTATACAGCTGCTCCACGTCGCCCAAACGCACCTGCACCTCCTTCCGACGGAGGAGCAAACAGAATCTTAGGAGATCTTTAAGAAGCTGGAATAAGACATAGTGGATATATTTAAAGACAGGCTGTAACACACCTCCTGTTCTTGGTATTGCAAAGGCAGCACCATCATGTGTTTCCGCAGCGCAACGACATGTAGTCTGTGTTTATCGATCGCCTCTGTGACCCCTTTGTGTTTCTTCAGCAAAGACTGAGTGGAGTACTCATCGTGACCAAAGTCCTCGCTGGAGACAAGACGGTAGGCGTCCTGCAGCCAGGCCGCCAGGTCGTCTGTCTCCGTGGAGAACTGGAAGAAATTGAGCGCTTCCTGCAAGTGGTTGAGATGCTGCGCAGCCTGGTCCTCCAGCCTTTTCCACACGTCTTTTACCTCCATGATGCGCTCCTGGATCCCAGTGGTGCCAAAGCTCTTCTCACTTAGAATCTGCTTTCCTTGTTTTATGGTGTTCTGGAGAAGAAAGAAGAAAAACTTCAGATTTTGGACAGAGGTACAGCAGGAAAACACAAGTCATTGTGAAACCCTGTAAACTATATAAAATGAGAATTGTCAAGAATTTATAATCAGCACTTTTCGCAGGAATTTCAAGAGTTTTAATCCAAATCTGAACAATATGCACTTAGATAATCTGTAGGACTAATGAGTCTAGGTAGTATTAGTGATCATGGTGCAGATTCAACAACGGAAAACACACACCTGCAGCAGAGAGCGATGAGCCAGCAGCTCCCCGGCTAGAGTCTTGTGTTTCTGAAGTAACCTCAGCACACTGCTCAGATCTTTCCCATATCCCTGAGAGGCCAGGATGGAGCTTTTCTCCCGAATCCAGGCCTCCGACTCCTCCAGCTCCTAACAGATGGGTGAACACCAGACTAAGAGTTCAGATTAAATAGAAAGGGAAGGATTAAACTCTGAAAAACTATAGTTTGGAAAGACCAAAAATACTGCAATATAAAAATATGCTCTCGATTTTAATGACAAGAAAAAAAATGATGCCTTTGTTACTAAAATTATGTGAAATAAAAACAAGTAATTTGCCTAGTAGCTAGTTTAAAAAGATATACCTGAAGAAGTAAACAGTGAATGTTGTGAAATATAAAAGAAAGAAAAAGTTACATTTTTTCAATAAAAATTAACTGATTATGATAAGAAATTAAAAGTCAAACTGCATGTGATAAAACTCTTTAGGTCAAGGCATTTGAAAATATAAATACCAAGCTATAAAAAGCTTTATATATTTTTTTCTTTTTTTATGAATGGGCTTGTTCTAAATGAGCTTGGAGAAAGAAAAGGATGCAGAGATGCACTGTTGGTGGGTGAAAATTTACCATTGTGTTGAGACTGAAACGCCAGATAAGGATTTTAGAAAATTTTATTGAAACTAAATATGATAAAACACACATGAAGGCGAACATGGGAGCGCAACAAACCAGCAATGCAACTCACAAGCAATTCTCAAAGCCATTTATCTTCTAAAGCATCAGTTGACTCAGCTGTTTGAGGTAATAAATGATTGACCATCTGTTTAGTTTTTAATGAGACACTGCAACATTTACAGTTATGGAAAAAGAAACTGCTCCCTGGTTTGGTTCAATAGTCACATATGTGATGAAAGTCGATCTAGTCTTCATCAGTTTCTTATGTGAGCAAAAAGGTTTGCACATCTGACAGAAACAGACGTTGAGGAGGAAACAATGGCTCATTCTCAGAAACCTCCACAAAAGGAAACTTCAGCACAAATTTAATCTGAGATGATCGGATCTCGTACTGTATTTTAGCAGATGAGGAGCTGTAACCCAAAAATTGCCCAATACATTTATTTCTAGGCAAAAATCAAGCCGAAATGGAAAAAAACAAACAAAAAACAGCAGGAGGAAAAACTATGTAGAAGCCATCTTCCAACAGTATGAGCACTTTTATCATCAGCTGCTTTTTATCAGCGGAGGTGAATAAACCAAGGCTGCAGATTAAAACTATGGAACTACTTTTCTACCAAAATTGTGATTTTATGATGATTTTTTCCTTTGCAAGCATGCATGTTTGATCCCAGTGTTTACTTGTCCCCATGAGAATTGAATGCTATTCATCAAATGTCCATTGATATGGGGATTTGATATTTATTACTCTGGTTAAATGTCCTTTGACCTAAAACCCTGGTGCCTGTTCTTTTAGGTATATTGTGTTTTTCTTCTTTTTTATCACAACTATATCTTTAAAATAAGCTCTAGAATATGCCCCTCTTTCATTTCCTATGTTGTCTCCATTTATCTAACCTTCCAGATTTGTTTTTGTGCAGCTCTCTCTGCATATTATTCAGGATGAGGTCTGGGCTTTAACTAGGCCATTGCAACACCCTGATAATCTGTCTCGGAAACTCTGTTGTAGACCTGCTACTGGGATTAGGATCATTGTCCATTTTAAAAACTGGTCTGGGCTGAGCTTCAGCCATTAGATTTATTCTTAACCCTTTAAAGCCCGATCCAACAAAATATGTAAAAAGAAAAAACAGAAATACATTTTTGATATTAATAATTTATTACTATGCGATAAGTCAAGATTATTTTTTGTGTAGTCTTCTGCCCTCTGTTATCAGGTATATCTGAATGTGTACAATAGGATTTTGAGCAAAGTTTTTACCATTAAATTATGCAAAAGGTGTCAGACGCAAAACATTTCAGAAACCGTATGTATCAAATATGATACATTTGGCATTACAGGGTTGAATACTTTGCCATCTAAAGAATTTCATGCTCCACTCAGTGATAGTGAGGTATCCTGTGGTGGCAAAAAAAAACAAACAAAACAAAAAAAACCATCATCCCTCCACCACCATGCTTAACAGTTGGGATGAGCTGAATAAAATCTGCTGTGTGGTTGTTTTTTTTCTCCAAACTTTCTACCTATTTTTGTTCCTGGGGTTTATAACTGATTCTATGCATCCTCCAGGGTCTTAGGTGCATTCTTTTTTTTTTTTTTATAATTAATAACAGTATGGAATCTGTGGTGCGTTTTAGGTCACTGACATTTTAGTAATTTTAGACTGCCCTGCCACTGCCTAGATCGTTCTTGTCCCACCTGAAAAAAGGCCCACAGCTGTCTCGACTCCTCAAGCTCAGCCCGCCGTTTAGCCGCCAGCTGTTTCAGTTCTTCCACACAGGTAGAGACATGGTTCACACGGTTACAGATCACCTGTGGGTCACATGGCTGGTAGCCTGGAAGGCAAAAGCAATCGATTAAAGGACCAGGAGTAAGATTGGTGCAGTTCCATGCCGTGTAACACTGTGTTCCCAAAAAAAAATCTTCAAAGCTAAACCACAGATAACTGGTTATAACAATTGGTGATTTTCTAGGTTTTTTTTTATTGCATCCTTGGTTTAGGGTTAAACTGACTAAACCATTTAAAATGTGGGTGTCTAATTTATCGTCCATTGTCCTGGTCTGATGAGCTTAGATTGATTGATATTCGATAACTGAACCAGACCAGACATTTGATTTCTGGTTATTAGCGGGTTCTTTTTAGTTTTTTTGGCTGAAAATAAAATCGATTATTTTCCCGATAATTATTTCACATGCATGCAAAAATGTCATATCCACATCCATGGGTGTGCACACAAGCTTTAGGGTTAATAGCTAAAAGGACACAGCTTATTTAATCTAGGTTGGGAACCTCTGCCTCACATCAACCAAAAACCTTTTTCCTCTCCAGTGTGTGTATGTGCGTACCTTCTATTGTGGTGAATTTGAGGGCAGCAGCATTGAGCATCTCCACTCTCTCAGCCTGCACTGAAATATCAGCTTCCTGCAGGCTGTGCTTCTGCAGCAAGTCGTCTACCTCCAGAAGATGTTTTCCAAAGTCCTTTGACAGCAGCTGAGCCTGAAAGGCAGGATGAGGGAAAACAGAAGGAGAATGGGGGGGAAAAGCAGATACCTTTTCACACATGGTAAACAATCCCTTTTATGAGGTGAGTAAGGAAAACATTACATAAATTAATTTTTTGCAGTCAAATATTATCACATTGAGACAGATAAATAAAATAAATAGTATTTTTCTGGGTAGATTTAATGCCAATAGAAATGTTCTTAAGAAAAGGCCACATTTATAGTTCTCCTGTTTTTTTTTCTGCCACCAGATTTTTATAAAAATGTTCTGGCCTTTCTTAAAGGTCATGATGCCTTGCAACCGTTTATTTATTTAATAATGATTGTTATTAAGACTTAGTGATCTCTGATAGAGATTGCTGAGTTTTTTTTTTTTTTATAGTGATAAAGTGTGCATTTACAAATTAATAACAAATTTGACCCGATATGGTATCAGAACAAATCAAACATACTCTAATTACTTATTTCGTAGTGTGGGATATTAGAAAAGGCTTGATCGGTGACATTACTCAAATAAAGAGCCATAATCATCAATAAAAGCAGGTATGTGAACAACTTACCCAGAGTTAAGTGAATTTTAAACAGAAGCAGAGTGTTTCTATCAGCATACTAGTATTGGAAATTTTAGAATATAATCCATTATTAGTTCTTTTGGCTGATATTGGACCAGCATTCAAAATAAATCTCAGATCAAGTCATCACTAAATATAAAATAGAAGATTTTATGTTATACGACATAAGGAAAAGAGGAGACAGGAGGTGTCATGGGGAGTAGGTAAGTACATAGTAAATTATGCAATGTAAGGCAAAAGGAGATACAAAATAAACAAAAAAGTAACTACAAAAAAAATAAATAAATAAGATTAACAGTGGCCCAATTGAAATTAACAAGCAAAGGTTATATGCATTTGAAATCCGAGAGAGATCAGTAAAGGATTATAAAAATGTTTGTTTGCTTCATGATTACTATATATATATGTATTGGTGATAATAACAATAAAAATATTAGCAACAATCATCTTAATAACATCATCAAGGCAAAGACCCTTAAAGTCGTAGGGAAACGCCTGTTCCAACTGTTGCAGTTCCGAATTCTCTCGAGTGGTGCCTGACATTACACGAGTGAATACAGTGAATGTGATTGGTTGATTATCAAGGGGGCGGGATCGTTGTGGTGGAAGGTTCGCAAGCAAGTTTGATTGTGGCCGATGTCTCGGAAGCATCTTGCTAACCAGTTAGCAACTTAGTGCTAGTAGCACTACCAAGTAGCACTAAATTGGTGACTTGGAAACGACACTGTCAAGGAACGCTATGGACAGCGGAAACATGCAAGAGGAGGACAGTTTTGTGTCGGAGGTCGTGGATGAGTCTCCTCCATCATACATTTTTTATTTAGAGGAGGAAAGCGGGACGAAGATGTTGTGGAAGAGGACGCCAGGGCAGCAGAAGCTTGGTTTGGTGTAGAAGGCTTACAGCCGTACATGTTTGAGCTCTTGCCTCGCAACGCTGCCAGTTCTTTTAGCTCTACGGCTGCTGAAGACACAGACGTCCATCCCCGTGAACACTGGGACGGAACTCAATGGGAAAGGAAATTATTCTTATTTCAACCGTTGCATATAATAGCTGCTACATATGAATCAAGCTGCTACATATGACCGAAAAAACTTGGTTGACAGATGACCGTTGATATATGATTGGCTGAATTTAGGTGTACAAGCTGACATATAACTAACTGGCCTGCATAAGGTAAGAAAAAACCGCCACAGATCTTAAGACAGCATTTGTTTTTTAAATAGAAATTTTCTAACTTTTGGCTCAATATCGTCTGATAAAGTGCACATTTATATACATGTTTATGCCAGAATGATTTAACATTTAAATATGACTTTAGCCATTAGCCGTTAAAGTTAATGATGGGCAGCAAACAAGGACGGCCCATGGAATCCCTCTTCCTCCTGAACAGTCATCCCTAACCTATCAGTGAATTTTATGAAATATTAAGATGCAATAAAACTTTTAATGATTTTTTGTAAAATAATCACTATGATCATCTTGTACTTGTCTGTTCTTGTTGACAGGATAAACTGAAGTTGTCATCAAGCCTTCATTTTCAGGAGTTTTAACTTTTTTCTATTTATTACTCTGACTTTCATTACTATCCATCTGGCTTTTATAAAACTTATAAAGGTCAACACTAATCACATCATCACCTTGGCATGTTCTCCATTTTTGTCAGAGAAGCAACCATTCTTATATGTTTGGTTTATTTAACCACTGAGTATATGTTCGAATTAAACGTTGAGAGATTTGTTTTTAATTTCATCTCTAGTGAAAAAAACGAACTTACTGTAACGTTTTTAACATAAGAAAGGACCACTTAAGATTTGTGTGATTTTCTAATTATTGTAAAAGCGCCCCCCTTAGTACCTGCGTTTCCTCCATCCAGTCGATCATGTAGACCATGTCCTGAAACGTCTTCTGCAAAGCCAGGTTCTTCTCCAGACGGGTCCTCCTTCCAGCCACCAGCTCCTTTAGGAGACTCCACTGGCCCAGGATGTTCTCCTTGCGTGCCAGGATGCGTCGGATGTCGTAGTATCCTTCCTTTTCCATCTCTGAGGAGAGCTCAATAACCACTCCGATCCTTTCTTCGTACGAGGCTATGTCCGCCTCGATGGCCTCGTGTTTCTTCATCGCAGCCTCGACTGCAGGCAGATCGTAGCCAAAATTATCCTACAGACAAAGGAATAAAATGTGTAGCAAAGAAATCAAGGATTAAATCTAATTCTGAATCAAACTGCATTGATATTTCACACAAAGGATGAAACGATATTTATTAATACCTGCAGGTGTACTGTATCACCTGCCAGAGGTGAAGCATGCAACACACTATGGGGGCTGATCTGCTGTTACCTGCGACACGAGTCTCTGGTTCTCGTTGAGCCACGCTTGCCTCATGGTTGTTTTGTGGTCAAAACGCTGAGCCAAAAGCTCCAGCTTCTCCTGACGAATCAGCTCTTTGCGTAGAGCTACGCCTCTCTCATGCTCCGCCTTCTCCAGTCTCTCCCAGGCCTGGACAGGAAACAGCAAACGGAAACAATTTCAACATGAAGGCAAGAAAGAAAGAGAGATGATGTGCATTTTTGGGAGAACATTTGGGGACCTTGTTTATGTCTGAGATCAGCTTCCCGTCATGAGGCACGTAGGGTTTCTGGTTATTGGCTCTGAGTTTGCTTTGGATGGTGAACAGAAGGACCTCAAGATTTCCTTTCTCCTGAAACCTGGACAAAGAAAGGAGAATCTCTTTAATGGTTTCATATCCTGAAATTCCTCTGGTATAGCAACATTCTTCAGCACATATCAAGGCCCATTAACCTTCTGTGAATAGAAAAACAAAGTCGGACTCAGGTTGATGCAGGATCTTGACCAAAGACATATCTGACACTGGGGGGCAGACATGGGCAATGTGGAGTCAACAAGTCATCTCCATGTCATGTATTTGTTCTACCCAGCCACTGAAGCAGGTGAGTCCAATCTTCACCGTGAATTAACCTGTGCAGATTGAACTCACCTGGGTAATTGGCTGGGTAGATTAAATACATGACATGGAGATGACTTGTTGACTCCACATTGCCCATGTCTGCTGGGGGATTGTTAATTTTTTTGTTTTCCCTTCAGCAGTTAGTATTATAAGTAAGGTAGAGAGGTCAGATTGCAGACAGTTAAAAACTAATGGTTACGTTTCTATTAAACATCATAGAACGTCACCGCCTCCTGTCAGAGTCCTCACCCATGAGATGGTGGCTCCTCCACCTTATAACCTCAGCTAGGAGATCCAGGAGCATCAAGTGTTGGAAACACTATGTAAAAATGTGGCTTTATTTTATTGCCATAGGTGTCAAAAGCATTAATGTTTATTACCCAAGTAGAAGTATAAATCCTAGTAATGATCTGCCCTGATAGCTGGCCTTAATTGTTCATGTCATTCACCTGCTTTATATTCGACTCGGCCCAGCTATTGTTTGCTTTCTGTTTGTTGTTTGGTTTATTTCTATGGTTCATGTCTTTGTTCCTGGCAGCCAGTGGGTTGAGAGGTTTTTAGTGTCTCATGTCTTCTGATCCTGTTTCGGCCCTTCTCGGCGGAGGCCTTAAGGTTTTGGCTCCGAACACGGCGAAGGTCAGTTTTATTCCCTTAAGTCTGGCTCCTAGTAGGAGACCAGTTTAAAGTACTGCAGAAATCATAGTACCTCGTCTTGTCTCTTTCCCTCAACCACTGAGCCTTCCCGTCTGCATCTCAGCGTGTCAATCTGAGCACCCTGCTGGACTCTCTGGAACTCTAAACCTGCCTCCTTGCTCTGTGGATACTTGGAGACCGGGATCTGTCTCTTTCCTGTGTGGATCGGAACCCCTGTCGGGCCACGGACTCCTAGATCTCTGAACTGTCCGGTTCAGATCTGGATCGGTCTCCTGTCAGCTGTCTGTCGTTGTAGCATAGGGAGCACCCTGGACAGCTCTGCACTGGATCCCGTTAGGCAGTCCATCGGCTGGATCCTGTCTTCCTCGATGAGTATGGACTGAACCGATAAACCGGGTAAGTGACTCACTCTGGTAATCATCCACTGTCTGATTATCATGGTCACTTACCTATGTAAGGTAAGTGACCACGATCACTCACACTCTCTGCAGTGTCAGTGGGGTGGTGCCCTGCCCCCCTTTCCCCGCCGTCGCTGCAGGTCCACAGATCCACAGCAGCCCGCTTCTGTTCTGTTTCTGTCTGTTTATTTTAATAAACGTTTTGAACTTTCCTACTGACTGTCTCACCTTGAATGCTGGGTCCATCTGTCCTGTTTCTGACATCCTACTGTTTAAAAACAATTTCTTTAGAGGTTAGAGTATCAACTCAAGCTTTTTACTCATGTTGAAGTATAAAAGTATAATTTCTAAAAGTATCTAAAGTATAAAAGTAAAAGTAATGCATTAAAAAATTTTAAGAAAAATTATTTAAAGCTTATACATCCTAATACATACTGAAACAAAACTAACAATGTGTTTTTAAAATGTAAGGAGTAGAAAGTAGAGATAATTGCAAATAAATCTTAGTAGCAGAAGTAAAAAGTTGTCTAAAAAATGATTACTCCAGTAAAGTATAGATGGCCAAATTTTATACTTAAGTAAGGTAATGAAGTATTTGTACTTTGTTACTTGACACCATTGTTCATTATCCATGAATATACTTAAATCTGACCCAAAGTACTTTGTTTACTATAAACCTGTTTCTGTTTTCATGATTAATTTGCAAACCAATCAGAAAGCAGCTACCAAATTTCTTTTCTTTCATTTATAAATGATAATAATAAATATTATACTGTTCTAAAGAAGTTTAGTTTTAATGTCTAAAATAGGTTAAAAATATTAGGATTCAGCTTTAAACAACAAGATACATTAAATTAAATCTTGTGAGAGCAAATGTGTGATGTATGTCTAAATTAAGAACTGGGGGCTAAAGCATAAGTTAGGGAAATAATTTAACCTTTCACCTCAATGTCTTATTCTTATATACAGTTAGACAGATACTGTGATGTATGAGTACGAGATTGTTTTAAAATTCAGGAACAACTGCAGAACCAAATAATTGTGATACCATGATTTAATTAGATATGTATCTAGGATCCTTTTTGTTATTTCTGATCCTGGAATATTATAGTAGGCACAGCTTCATTAGAATATTTCACTGATTGCTGTAGAAAAAACTTTTTCCTTCTGGAATTTGAGATTTTAAACTAACAAAACAAGACATCCAGAGACATTTTCTCTAAGAAAGGTCTCTGAATGTCTATATCTAGAGAGTATATTTATATCCGACCTTAAAATATCAACATGGTGTTTTAAAATTCAGCGCACATACTTGATGGGCTTCTCTATAGTGCAGTAGGTTGTGAAAGCCTGCAGCTGCTGCTGAACTCCAGTCAGCGAGTTGGCAAATTTCTGGTTGCTGATAATGGCAATGGTCTTCTCTATCCAGTCCAGCAGGTCTGAGGCCAGAGCGTCATATCGGTTCACGATCGATTCCGTCTCGATGCAGTTGTCCAATACCTGAGTGTGAAGAACAAAAAATGAAAAAATATAAGCACTAAAATGGAATATGGACAATTTTCAAAATGACTTTAACATTTCTTTCTGAACCTTTAACATAATGTGTTGTTTAAAAAACAGTTATTAAACAACCAATAAAATAAACAGGAAAAATGCACAGAAATAATAATAAAAAAAACAAATATGAAAACATGTCTAAGTTATTACAGATCAATAAAGTCCTTTTTGACCCATTTTGACTCAGACTAAGCGTTGGACAGAAAAGCAAAACAAAAACAGAAATGCAAAAGCAGACATAAAACATAAGCTCCCAGGAAGAGGGGGAAAAAAAATCACAAAATAATTAAATAAGAATAAACACATTTCCTAAGTTTAACTAAAATAATGTTGATTTTCATGAGTTTTATGGACGGTTTCTAAATCTCTTTCTATTATCTTATACACAACTATACAGATGCGCTAAAAGGCCAGTGGGGGAAAAAAAAAGATAAGAAAAGTTATAAGTTGTTTTTTGTTTTTTTCTGCCAGTATCACAAAAAACAAATACTTTAACACTTTAACATTTTTTTTTTTCGCACTTGAGTTTATGGGCAGGACTGAAAAGAGATTTTTTTTTTCTAACTTTCCTTTCAGGGCTTCCTTAGATTAATTTACAGAACACTTTCTACAGAAAGAAAAAAAATGAGAAAAAAAACTTTCTATCTGAATCAACTGTTCTTAAAATCAAGTGGTGGGAAAAAGCATGTTACCTTGCCAACCCTCTTCCCCTCCACAATAAGAGCCTTCATCTTGGAGAAGTAGTGGTAGTAGGAGACCACATACGTAATGATGGACTTTTCATCTGGGTTCTCTGTGTTCACATCTAAAGGAAGAAAACAAAACATCTGCTCAAGTCTGAGTTGGGAAACACTGTATGTATAAGTCATGTGACTTTTCTAGTATCCCGTTTTGTTTGTTTGAGTCATGATGAGCCTGGCCTGTATAATAGCACCACCAACAACAAACAACCTTGACCTGAAGATGGTCAAGGTTGCTATTTGGGAAATTCTGAAAAGACTGTCCTAAAATCTGAGAATAAAACACATTTTTAAATCGCTTTAAAGTTGTTTTGATAACTATATAATATTCAAGCTATCCCTTAATAAACCCTAAAAGGTAATATCTCCTCACAGACGATCATCCCGACGTATCTGCTGAGGTGCTGCATTTTAGTCTGGTTGGCCACATCAGGCAGCTGGATTCGCATCTTAGTTGATTTACAGAGTCTTTTCCATTTGTTTTTAATGATTAAATAGATAAATGGCTGAGAAATGCTGCAAAACTTTTGATTAGTTTATTCTTCATCGTCACAATAATAAACCTTAACTTCCATTAGATACCAGAATGCTGGTAAGGTTTCTCAATCATCAGGGACATAAGAACTCTTACAAAAGTTATTATTTCTATGTGTGACATCACAGTTCAGTGTTTATCCATAAAGCTATGCTGTAAGTAGGGTAGTTTGACAACCTCACTGTGACGACTGATACCCATTCTCACCCTCAGGGTCCAGGAGTTTGGTAAGACCCAGGTGGTTCTCGGCGACGTTAAAGGCTTGCTGCAGGTTGTGGGTTGCATTGGAGCGCGTCAGCTTATGGAACTCTATTAGGTCAGGTCTGCAAGGCAGAAAGATTCACAAATCCTAAATGATCATGGGGAATTCTAGAAACATAAGACGTGTTATTTTTAAATTTACATAGTTATGTACACCGCCTTGCTTTGCAGACCGCGTGGACAAATGTTACCTGTGTCTGTGTATGAGGGCGTTGAAGGCGAGGCCATCTCTCCAGCAGGTGGTGAAATTCTGAATGTTCACCTCAGGGTATCTGGAGCACGAATTAAACATTACACTGTTAATATGTCGCAGAGGAACATGTTCATTTTAGAAATAAAAACTTAGTGTAAATTGTAAACTGGGCAGGTTTTATGCTTTTTTGGCATCGCTGCTCACCCTGCAGTCTTCATCTGGCACCAAAGCAGCAGAGCGTCTTTGGCCGAGCGGGTTTCTCTGTTGTCTGCAGTGTTTATTTTGATCACCTGGATCTGAATAAAAACACATAGAGACAGATTCTCAGTGTTGTTCTCCACTTTATCTGTCAATAATCAGACTTAATCTCATTACGAACTTTATTTCTGGTATCATTATTTAAACTGCATAACTGTGTTTTGTTTTTACCGAAGAAAGGTGATGGACTCTCAATTTACAGACAACAGCTTCATTGGAAAAGCCCAATCTTAAGCATGTGAGTTTTTCATGTTTTGTGAAGCTTTTCTGGTTTTGTTGTTACCTCAGAGGTTTGAAGATGAGCTCAGATATAAACTTAAAACCTCACCAAAAAAAATGCAGCATGGAAATCTCATCATTAAAAGGGTTAATATTTTTTGTCTCACATTTCAGAAAGAGAAAAACATGAAAGAGAATATTTAAAGTATTTTTCTTAGATTATGGATGATTAAAATTACAGATGATGCAAAACCGAAATTAATTTCTTAAGAAGTCTGAAAATCACACAAAATCTTTAAAGTAGAAAATAAATCTCAGTGTTCTGAGATCTATGTACAGTACTTTGTTTTGGCTCGTAATGCATAAACCAAGGCATCCCCCAAACTCTGGGAACCTGATTTCCGAATAAAAAGCAAACTTTACTTGCACATTTTTTTTTAACCACTAAGCAAAATTCCATTTCTTTTCTTCTGAAAAGATTTTGCTACACAATCCTCTAAGGCTGCAGTTACCCCTGTTGCTGCTGCATCTTTTTCTACCCCACTTTCTTCTTCCACTCAATTTTCTATGAATACTATAAAACTTATTAGGCTATTTACATTTTATTTTATTTCCTTTGTATTCAGCCAACCTCATTATCTTAACAACATCAACAAGATTCTGAAAGTATTCCTGGCGGGATAAACCATTCATTTCCTTGGCAGAATAGCTCCGCCCTCTTATGTTCCACAGCGTCTAGGTTGCTGCTTCTAGAAGATGCTTAATGTCAGCAAGTTTGATCCATTTAAATAACAGTTATTCTGCATTTTTAAATCATTTTTATCTTGGATCAATCAACTGGGTGTATTTTTAAACAACCCTTACTAAATTATCCCATAATAAATCTGCAATAAACCAGTAGAACTAACCCAACAAGATGCTGTAACCATCATGTTTGACAGTGAACTTTGGTGTAAAAGCCTCACAGCGACAGGTGCAAACAAACTTCTTGTCAATCTGACCAAACAAGCTCTCAGTCTTTGTCTTTTCTCCATTAGACATTCGACCTGTCGATGGGGAAAGCTGCAGATTTTATTCAAGCTTGGAGATGCTGACTTTGGAGTCGGTGCTTGTTCATCCATCGCCATCTTCTCAGCAAATATTGATGAGAAACTGTCAACACTGTGGCCCCTCTAGTAATTAAATTAGATTCTGTGTTTAACTTGAACATTGATTGTATTTTTGTTTCATCTGACTGTCACGTTTCAGTTTCTCTTCTAGACACAGGTGCCACGTCTAAACGGTGTAATGCATAGCTGTTTGCAGGGATGATCCTTAACTCTATGACAATTTAGAAATTGCACCAAAGACTTACTCAACATGCATAAATCTCCTTCAACCAGTGCCACCAAGGCAATCTAATTCATGGAGCTGCAGAGAAACTATCAGCTTCATTTAATTGTGATCTCTAGGTGTTGATTTTGACCATCCGGAACCTGTAGCAACACTTTGTGTAGGGCCACAGGGACCACATTGCCACCTCTTACGGCCTACAGCGGAAGGTGAGGACTATCGGTGTTGATGTAACTCACCATGGGGCATCACTGATTGACGCCTTGTCATTTTGCAGGAAAAACTAGACTTTTGAAAACATGAGCTACATGGTTGAAGAACAACTTTTATTCCTTCCTTCACCCCTAAATAATGTCTGATTGAGCATGCAGGTTGCACAGTGGTTAGCGTGCATGACTCATGTATGAAGGCCTTAGTCCTCAACGCGGGCGACCTGGGTTCGTCCTTTCCCGCCTGTCTCTCCCCCTCTCTCATACCCCCTTTCCTGTCAGCCTACAGTCGAAAAAACGAACCACTAGTGCTGCAAAAAAAAAATATAATACCGGTAATAAAAAAATTTTTTTTGATTGGCTAAATATGAAAGTACGTGGATAGTTGCTTAATAATGCCCTGCTGCTTGTTTTTATAATTTAATGTTTCATTGTACAATTCAGTCTGGGTAACAAGCTGTATGTTGTGAGGTAGCTGGATATAATTTCCTTTTGGGTGACCACATACAAGCCTTTATTCATTGGTGGATAGAAAGAAAGAAGGACAGACAGAAAAGGTGAAGACATGGAAGTAAATAGCCACAAACTGAACCCAACTGTAGCCTGAATGTACAAAACACCCGGTTTTCTGCACCGCATTGTGCTCCCTCTTTTTCTACTTAAAATATGATGGTGAATATATTTGAATTGATACTTTAGGTCAGGGGTTACCAAACATTTCAGCTTGAGACTGAAGAAAATGTATGTTTTAATAATTTATAACAATATATTTTAATAAAGTTAAATAATTACATTAATTTTTAAACAAAAAATGTTTTATATGAAATCAAATAATTTCATTAATCATTTTAAATATACTTCAAGTTATTTTTCGGGGCATTTAAGTGTGCATTTTACACTATAAAGGTATATTTAAGTATTAGATAAATAAATTAAAATGTATTTATTTCATTTACATTTCTTTCATTCATGATATTTAGCCCCTATGAACCTCAGGGATCATGTCACAAAATAAAGCCATCTCCTGACCCCCACTCTGGTAACCTCAGCTCTGTATAATCTTCCTGGTCTCATGTGATCTGTGTCTGGATTAGAAAAAAATCCATTAAAAAATTTAAACGCTTTACAACTAACTATTGAATTTTAAGAAAACTGCAATCTTTTGCTTAAGTAAAAAAGGTTTCATTAGCAATACATAAAAATATGTAAAAAATGAAGTTTAAAAGCTAAATTAAAGAAACTGTTCTTGATTTAATACAACCAGATGGACTCAGTGCTCATTGGGTTTTATTAAGCTTTTTAAAGCACTGCACCATGTGCCTCTGAGAAGAACAACAAAGACAGGATAATGTCTAGAAAGACCCTCAGAACCATTCAACAAATCATTTGATAGAGACATGATGCAAGGTAATCAGCAACATGACACCCTAATGACACCCAGAAACCAGCTGCTGCCTCTGTGCAACAAACCCATATATTTACATCAATGGACACAAACAAAAAGTGACAAAAAGAATGGGTCACATAAAGGGAATATGTATAAACACAAGCTTTTTTTAAGTTTAGTTCAAATCATCAGTTTTCTAAATTCTAATCAAATTTTTCTAAATTATAATCAAATTATTTTAATTATAATTCCAGTTATGGTTTATTTTTATTTTTGTGCTCTCGTAACTAGAATCTCTTTAGCATTTCAATGAACTTTTAAAAGACGTGAGGGTTTGTTAGATTACTAAAGCACATTTCTGCCTAAAGAAATAAAATATGACCTAACCAGCCCTTTGCAACATAATCAGTACATTTATTGGAAATGATAACAGCCTGTTATTTGTTTTTGTTTTGTTTTTTTATATTTCAGGTTGACTCCTTCCTTTTCTCTCAGTCCTCCCCCCTCTCCCTTTGTCTCACCCTCACCCTGCCTGTGCAGTCACTGCAGTGCTCCGGCCCTATCTGCTGACCTGGCAAAGCAAACTCTCAGTTTCACCTCAGAGGCAGGAGGGAACGGAGAAAAGAGGTGGAGATGAGGAGAAGTGCAGCAAGAAAAAAAAACAGATGGAAAACTGAAATCTAGTCTTCCTATCTCTCTTTTTGAGCAAATTCTTTATGAATATTTAGTATTTTCTTTTCTACTTATATATGTAATTACTGCCAACATCTCAGCTGAGAGGGGATATTTACTGCATTAATGGATCAGTCGGTATAGGCTCATTGCTTCCAATGAAACCTTAGATGGGAAAGCATAAAAACAGGACATTAATTTTATTTTATTTGAAATTCTCAGAAGATAAAGTGCTTGTTCAGCCGTCGGTTACAGCTAATATTGGCCTGGGCTCTTTTTACACCCAAATGCTCTCTCTCCATTCATTTGTTTTTTTAAATGGTTGCTCTTAATCCCTCTCACGTATGAGACTGTAAATATATGGTTGCCAGTCTTGTGAGACTCTGATGGGCTGGCGATCTGTCTCAGGTTGGAGATCGGTATCAGCCTCACCCCCAACCCTTCCCCTTTTGGCCCTGCAGACATGGGCAGGTATAGAATTATTAATTTTTTTTTAATTATTAATTTTTTGCCTAAAATGTTTCAGTAAGGGTCATTTTCAACCTCACCGATGCATCACTTACAGCCTTACAGCCGAAACAGACCATTCATCAGTTTTTCTCAGCTCTCTGGGTCAAAGCGGTAACACATATTACACAATAATTCTTTCAGCCACACTTTTTTGATGTGCTTGGTAGCAAGTAGCCTTAAAGCAACATTGTGTCCCCAGAGATGGTCTCTGCCCTGTGAAACCTACAAAAAAGGCTGAATATTGCTATGTAAGCAATGTGCACTAAAGCTACACTATAGCAGTGAAGGAAATGTATGAGAAGCAGTGGGTTTGTTGTACTTACATGAGCCGAACCGATCCTGAAACACTGCTGCAAGGTAGCAAGAAAAATTTGCAAGGCTGTAGATGTGTCTGAGGGACAGACATTGCATGGAAGAATCCATGTCAGTGGGTTTAATGATGTGTTGTTGTCAAAGAGCAAAACAGAAGGCGACTGCTGCAGTAGCTCTGGGGTCCTGACTGACATTCAGGCTGTACCAGAAAAACATGGCTGTCACTGTCGCACAAAGATGACACAGCAGCTGTGGAGCTTTCCCAAATCTGAGCCCTTCAGAGCTATTTGTAAATAATGCCGTTGCTGAGAATATAAAAGCATCTCACAGCAGCCAGACTCAAAGTTCCTGTAACTGAACCTAAATGCAAAACTGCAAAGTATTCAAGATTGCCACCCAGACATTCTATATGATCTTTTTCCTCTGTGCTCATCTAAAAGTCAACAGGATCTCAATTATTCATGTACTTGCAATAATATAAGTAGGATCCTAACGGGTTATGAATGGCTGCATTTACTTAGAAGAGTAAGGTGAAACCTAACCAATGATATAAACTTTTCCAGCACTAAAAACATAGAGCTTGTACAACTCTACAGTAATGACCCCCTCTTTCCCTTTCCCACCCCACTGGCCACCTCACTGGCCAGTGTAAACTGTAGTAGCATCATTTTAGCATTTCATCCCATTATGCACAACCAGTGAAGTAACATTAAAAAAATACCAAGACATGAGTAGGTGTTTACTTAAGTCAGGTTTACCACAATAGTAGATTCCAACCCTGAAATGATGGATTTTAGCTTCAGTGTGCCACCCCAAGATATTTAGTGGTCCTACAGTATCTACCCCTATGAAACATTTCTGGAGGCGCCACTGCTTGTCTAAATCAAATCCATGAATAAATATAGCCAGTCACCTATTTATTCTCCTTACCAAAGATCAAATAATCAAATTGCTAATTTTCCAAGGGTAGTAAGGATATGTGGTCCCTTCACCAAGCTGGAGATCCAACTTCAGCCACTAACAAGCAAGGTGATCTAACAACAACAAAGAGAAAAACACAAACAGGACCCTAAAGGTTACAGGAGGAACCTTTCCTCCTAACCCATCGGCAACAGATTCTTTAGATCAGACTGGAAAACAGATGGACTAATAACTCACAAGCATTTGCTTTTGTTTGGGGTTCTTGTTAGTAGCTGATGCACTCGGCTGAGAATTGTTCCAGTTGGCATCTGGATATCAACTCAGATGCCAAAAAAAACACGTTAGTTCTAAAAAGCAACATCCCAAGGATGGAAAAAAGAATCCTGTCTAATTTTTCTTATTGAGATCCTTTCAATGAACTCCACAAACAAAATAAATAAAAAAGACCTTCTAATCAGAGGTGGGTGGAGAATCCTAAAAATGGTACTCAACTAAGAAAACGACTACTTCAACATTTTGTTTACTGAGGTCAAAGTAAGTATTAGCCATTCAAGAAATCGCTCCAGTAAAAAGTTTTTGGTAAATAGGCGACTCAAGTACTGAGTTATTATTGGTTATTTTGGTATTTTGAAGATTAAAATACTTAGAAATACAAATAACATGTTTACAAAATAAAAATAAAAAATCATGCAGAAGAAGTAGTTCTCCAAATGCTATTTTTCAACATGGAAGGAATCCTAACAGTGAGAACTCTGTACTCTGTCAGGTCAGGGGAACGAACTTCCATTGACAATATCTACTATTTAACTGATCTCTAAAAGCTCAATTAACTCACAGCAGACAGAGTTGAAATAAATTTTACAAAAGAAGAGGAAGAAGAAGAGGTGATGTTCCACAAAAATGTCATTCTAGTAAAGGTAAAAAGTAAATAGAGTACAGCAAATCTACTCCTAAAAGTATTTTTCTATTCAAAACGTTACTTAAATAAATGTAGCTGGGTAAATTTAACCAGCTATTAACGTCTTCTACGTCCAATATGAAGTCCAACAGTCGGGTTGGATATTGGTGCGATTTTACTAAATTATTCAAAAAAAAGTAACCATGGATTTCCATTTTTCTGTAGTTCCACATAATATCTTGATGGACAGAGTCATTATTATGATTCTTCAAAACCAATTGAATATAAGTGGAATGGGTAATCAAACTCTAGTACTATATTTTTCCAGCATCAATCGGGTGATAACGGTCTGATCTTAACTTCCATGACCTGGAAAAATGGCAACTGGAATATCCTCCTCAACGCTCACGAGTAAGGATTACTGGGAAAAATAAAATGAATGGTCCTCCAGTATTTAAAACACCTTCAGTTTTATAATAAACTTCCAACTCACCCATTCTTACCCTAATTCTAGATGTACCATTGATCAATCATGCCAACTATGACTTTCCTGACTTTTATTCTTTAACTATAGAGCAGCTTTGTGAAGGTTAAGGGCATACTGCTATACTGAGTAGAAAAGTTACCTGAAAACGGAGGATGATAGTCCAGATAAGGCCCAGCGTGAGGCGATGGTTTCCATCTACTATGTCATGGGAACCAACATTTTCTAAATGAACCCTCTGCTCCTTCAGGAACTGCAACGCTTTGTCGACATTTTCCAGGCAGTGGATCCGCATACGACCCCTAGTCGGTCTCGGCTGAGGGAGAAAAAGAGAGATTTATCACCTGCTGAACCTTAACATAACTATCAGCACCACGGACAGTGCCCTGACTAATGGCATACCAAAGCTGGTGTTAATACAAGGAATTTAACCTCTTTTAAAGAAAGACCAAAAAGGTTCAGCATGACTGTTTAAGTTATTGTTTGTCTTCTTACCAGGAGCTCCCCACTAAGAACCTCCAGCAGTCTGGTGAGCATATAGCCATCCCTCAGGTCGTTGTAGAGGTCAGATATTCGACAGGACACTCTGGCTAGGTGGGAGTTGACCCACTTTGTGAAGGTTTTTTTCTGCACTGCATCTCTTTCATCTAAAGAATGAGAGTAGATATTGGGTAAACACTGGGAAGGAAGTATTTTGATATTTAGTAGAAACAGTTGTTCTCAAACAAGTCTTGATTTTAATAATTAAATTATAATCTTGACTAGTAAACCATCCACTCCCACTAATTCAATCAGGGTCATGGTGGGGCCGGGGCCTATCTCTGGCAGTCTATGTCACACACTTACAGCTAAGGACAATTTAGAGATGCCAATTAACCTATCAGGTAAATTGCATGTGGAAGGAAGCCGGAGAACCCAGAGAGAACTCATGCATGCATGGGGAGAACATACAAACTTGGGGCCAAGGGCCGGGAATCAAACCAAAGACCTTTTTGCTGCAAGGCAACAGTGCTACAAACTGTGCCACTATGGAGCCCACAATAATAAAAAGAAAATACATAGTAATTATCATTATATAACAAAAGGCAAGCTCTAGATTTATCATCAGTCTATGTTCCTACCCTCAGATATGATCATGAAATCTGAATGATGACCGAAAGAACAAGATACTCGATACAGGTGACTAAAATGAGCATTTTCCTTTTGAGATAAGGGGGGGAAAACTTGATCAACAGGGAGAGGAATCTCACACAAATATTATAAGCAGGTTTGTATAGAGAAACAGTTTCTCTATTTTTGCTGTCTGTCCTTGCATGGATGTACGCTGATGAGTGTGTTTGACCCCTGACCTGCCAGAGCCTTGATGCGGGAACACTCAAACAATTTGGAGCTTGTACACTCAGTCTCCCAGAACCCAGAGCTGATTGGTCGGTTGTTGTTATTGAGCTGGCGCTGAGCTTCTGCATTGTCCAGGTCTGGAGAGGCATTAGCCATCGCGCACTTCACCCTGCAACAAATAAAAAAATGAAAACAATAAATGTTTGCTTATGCTGCATGAAAGAATTCCACAACTGTTAATGATTTCTGTAGTCTCTAAAGCCTGGGTGTCTTTTAATTAATTAAGAGTTCTTGCAATGTTCCAAAAACTGATGAAATTCACTGGAGAAAAAACATAAAATCTCACTCGAATAAGCATAAAGTACTGGACGGAGAGGTTACATTTACTCAGCTGCAACGATTTGAGGAAGTTCTTGAAAAAAATCTACCACTAGGAGTAGATTTGCTGTGCCCTTTATGAGTTATAATATTTTGAAGAATTTCTACTCTTTATTGAGTATGATTTCTGGGTAATTTGGCCAGATTTAATTGCTTTGTAGAACCAAGAACAGGGGTGTTTAACCCAACATTTGGTACCTAGAGCATTTCTGGTTAAAACATACTTCTATGTGCAAAAGCTCCCCTGTTAGTGAAGTGTTTCAATTTTCCTTCTGAAATGCCTCATAATTTTAATTATTTTACATCTCACACTTTTAAGTGCTTCCTGTAGACTTTCAGGGACGCAAATTTCTCTATGAATAGTTTTCAATTTGTCTGTGTTCTATATATGTGCATTCTGAGCTGATCATCATTTCTTAAGTCCATTATAATATATCTGAATATGATTTTCCTGTACATAAAATGTTTTATTACGATCTCTAAAAGACCAGAAACAATATAATTCTGTATTTTTCTGTCTGATTCCATCATTTCCACAGATTAAATCGAATATCTTGTGTAGTTGGGATTCAAATCCCATTTTTACCAAATCCATTTTTACTGTTATTTAAATATTTTTTTGAACTATTAACCTCTACTTGTAAAAAGGAACTAAAATACACCAACTGTTACCTGAGTACAGCCTTTAGCAACTGGAATAAGGCGAGAACAATCAAGGGAGAAGAAATGGATGCTCTGTCACCTCAGGGAAAAAAGCTGTTTACAGCCAATAATTAAACACTGGTGTTACACAACATCACACACCTCCTAACCCCTATTTAACCCCAACTAGATTAAATAACAGAAGGAGGATATAATGAAATAGCCATTAAGTTATTATCAGTTTAATGTTTAGTTTTAAAAACCCACAATATTATGACTAACAGCCAAACTTCTAAATACAAAAGGTACTTCTCCACCATTATGATCGCAGCGCTTCTAAATGTGAACACCAGAGCTATTTTACAATAGCTTTGCTAAAAATAAAATCTCTCTGATGTTCATTAAAAACATGGAGGGACAGGATGAGTCCCCTCTTCCATTTATTCCTTTGACAGCTGAAAACAGAGGGATGAAAATAACTTCACCAATGAATAATCATCAGCTCATGCCGCCTCCGTGCAATCACGTACAGCTTAAGTCTAAGTTTTAAAATAACGTTCATGAAAAAAATGAAGTCCTAAACCTTTTTTTGGGCCTCTTTATTAAAGCTTCGTGCAAAACTGATTAAAGTAGAGAAGATTTGAAGGTAAACAAGTCAAATGCCTGTTTTTTTCTTTATTACTAAAACTTTTCTCCAAACTCAGAACAAAACAGGATGGTTTACAGCAGTGTGTGAAAATACATCTATGCATGGCTTAAATTGTCCAATAAAATTGATGTAAAAATATTGAAATATTGATTCACATTGTTTTCTTTAAGCTATGAAGGTTCCCACATGTACAGGCTAACCTGAACATGACACAGGAAGGGTCGCAGAGCTGGCAAAGCCCACAAACCAGTAACCACAAGTAGTGTTGCCCCGATCCAACGCTAAAATTATGGTATCGTTATCAGCGAGTACCAAAAGTTTATTCAACTTTTGTCACCCATTCCAGGTAGGCAATAACAAGTTCTACTGGATTCACTTTGTATTAGTCTTTTTCCTGCTTCATAAAAGTAGGCAGCAGCTTGACAAAGCCATGATGGCAATTATTCTACATCCAAGTAGTACTGTATGCAGTTCTTCATAAATACATATACACATCAATTAAAAACAGATTGCATCGGATGCGGCCAATACTGCACAGCCAGGTATCGGGGATCAGTATCAGGGCCAAAAAATGGCGTAACGGTGCAACAGTAGCCACAAGAGTCGACCCCTACTCCATCTGACTAAAAACTCTCCTGCAGTGCAGCGCCCTTTCACAGACGACTCAACAGAGGATATCTTCCCTCAAACTATCTCCCCAAAATCTCCACCAATGCAATTGTAATCCCACCCAAGGCCTAAAACATTACCAAAATCCTTGCATCTTGGAGAAAACCAGTGCCCCTTGAACAAGTCATGGCCTGCAGGGACCCAAGAATAGACCCACATTATTTCTCAATACCAGCTAGAGCAGAAGGATGCAACCAAGCAGAACCCGTGCCTCACCATCCTCTGGAGTCCCAGCTAGTTGAAGAAGCAAAGCCTCCAGGATACCCCCCTCCACCAACCCTCACCACAGCACATCCACTACCCCCACAGGAGGATGGCTACTATCTTGCCAAGTGAAAAAAAGGGTTAAGCTCACATCATCCACTACATGCAGCTGTGTCCAGACAAACCATCACTATATCTCTGCATTATTTTTTCTATTATATTACTGCAGTAAAACGTCACCTTAATCCTTTTAACTCATCTGTACAGCGGCTGCCAATCAGTGTGGAGGGTGCCATTAAATCTCACAGTAAATTTAAGAAGTGAGTCATTACAGTTTTAAAAACTTCCTTCCAATTATTTCTCTTTTTTTTGTTGTTGTTCTTTTAGGAGAGCAGATGTGCCCACAAGGCTTAAAAACATGGCATTTGGTGTTCTCCAAGCTTCTTCGACAGGGGGAGGAAACGTGTTTTATGCATGGGGGGGGCCCACTGGGAATCAGATGCTATATCTTTACCAAACACTGTCAGATGTAGGCCAAAGGGGGGAGATCATTTGAAATGCAAAAAAACTGAACACAAATCTCATTGCGATGTGGTGCCTCCTCACTCACATTACCAACTTCTTTATAATTTAACAACTGAGTTCAGAGGATGCAGAAACAATAAAAAATATATATATATATTTTTCATGTTCAGGAATGACATCAGGTCTTCTGATCTCTCTGTTTGGAGAATATTTGATAAGAATTTGAAGCTTTTTATTCCATAAGATGTTTACTGGCCATCCTTCTTCCTCCAAGCACATTAGTGTTCACTTATGTGACTTTAGATGCTTAAAAGATGAATTAAAATGAAAACTACTTCTTTTCTTCTCCAGCACCTAACCCTATAAACACAAACAATGTTAAATATTATTAAAATATTATCATATAATATGATACACTGCAGTAAAAGCATTTCCTGTTCAGTAGCTGACCTGCTTTTTAACAAACGAACAAGCAATAATAAATTATGTTTGATCCTAAATATGTTTATTATAGAGTTAATGTTTTTTATCTTCTGCTTCCATTTTTAGTCTCTTTTCTCATCTCCATGATGTAAAAAAAAAAAAAAAAAAAAAAATATGTTCACTACTGTCACATCTTTAAAAACACTGAAAAGCCTGATAAGTAAATGTCAGTGTGATGGTAAGACACGGAGAGGAGAGACCGTTGTGCACTTAGCCTACCTCCCCAGGGAGAATAACAGCAAAGCATTAGGCTGCTTTCTATCTGATGATCAAGCAGATGAGGGACTGCAGTGAAAGAAAACACTATGAGATATAAGCCGCAAACTCCACCAAATAAAAGTGATGAAAACTGCAGTTAGGAAGTGAACGAATACGCTACTGATTTTGGTGTAGTTGGAAATATAAGACATTTTTTTAAGTCTTGTTATTATGAAGAGTTATTTCTGACATACTTTTTGGTTTCAAACACTTATGCAATAAGATTAGCACTTCAAAATAAGAATAAAAGTTTTTTAATTTGTGAATTTTGAAAAGAATTTCCCCACTTCAGCAAACTGTATTTGCTTAGATCGCCTATAGACACTTATTGTAAAAAAAATTCTTTCCACTTTGTCCAATTTTTTACTAATATTTGTATTTGTTATATTCATTACTTTCATTCGTTTTCTATCTGCTTTTATTTATCCATCATTTCTTACCTTTTATCTTTTATATTTTATAATTAATTGATTTTCTGACAGTAGCATGTGCTGTAAATCTAAAGCGAGTTGTGAAGATATGTAATTCATTAATTCAATCCATTTAGTTTATCTTAATAAATGTGTTTGCATTAACAAATTTTTTTCCAGTTTTTTTGCATCTTATTTATCTGCTTCCTAAATATTCACAATTAAACTGTAATGAAATGTATCTTAATAACCTGTGGCATTATTTGACATTTCCTCAGGAAACTGGTGAATGCAAATAAAGTTATATTAACTGATAACAGCATAGAAGCTAAATAAATAAAATGTATATGCATTTAGTTCAAACCTAAATAGTCACAACAGTTTCCTTAAACTTATTGTGGAAGATTTTCTTGAAATTTCTAAAAGACCCGCCCTCTCCATTAAAAAAAAAATAAAAAAATACATGTGCGGGAGCATGCACAAGTCCATTTCTCCTTGTGCACGCTCTGTTTAAAAGTTGCTGTTCTCATAGCTCATACAAGCTTACTGTGTCATAATGTCCCTAAACCCTAAATCCCTCATTCACTATATAGAGCAGGGACTATATAATGGACTTTATAGCGAACTCAGGTAACTGACCGTTTGGACAAATGATCACTGCTTCTTGCTCCCGTTGGTCGTGTAACTCCTCCTCCACTGTGCAGTGCCCGGCCATCTTTGTTATAATTCACGGCTGTTGAGTAGCAACAGCCTATACCGACAGAGGGCGACTTTGACACCAAATCCCATAATGCTCTGCAAGGAAAGCTCTCCGTACAAAGCATTCCAGAATATATCTGCCTTTTCTGAGGCTTTTCTTTTCTCCTCATACACTTCGTAGACGCTTTTTCTCTTACGACCCTATGCCATTTTCAAAGAACGGTGAGAAAGGTGAGCTTCAATGACTGTCTG